GTGTGTGTGTGTGCGTGTGTGTGTGTGTGCGTGTGTGTGTGTGTGTACATGAAGTTCCCCGTGCCTTTCATATCCAAAATATCGTTTCGGAAAGACTATTTCTCTCCCTTTCGCCAGCTCGCCCACGCGCCCGTTCGTCCGTTTGTTTGTTTGTCTGCCTGTTTGTTGACTGCCTGTCTGTTTTGTTTGTCTGGGAAGGTATGGTCTATTTGCTTAGTTGATTGAGTGTCTGTCTCTCTATCTCTGGTCAGCCTGCATGCTTGATTGCCTGTCTGCATGCAGGCTTCTCTGCGGGTGAATGGAACCATAAATTTCTCCAAAGGGGAAATATGTATGTGTGTGTGTGTGTACATGAAGTTCCCCGTGCCTTTCATATCCAAAATATCGTTTCGGAAAGACTATTTCTCTCCCTTTCGCCAGCTCGCCCACGCGCCCGTTCGTCCGTTTGTTTGTTTGTCTGCCTGTTTGTTGACTGCCTGTCTGTTTTGTTTGTCTGGGAAGGTATGGTCTATTTGCTTAGTTGATTGAGTGTCTGTCTCTCTATCTCTGGTCAGCCTGCATGCTTGATTGCCTGTCTGCATGCAGGCTTCTCTGCGGGTGAATGGAACCATAAATTTCTCCAAAGGGGAAATATGTATGTGTGTGTGTGTGTACATGAAGTTCCCCGTGCCTTTCATATCCAAAATATCGTTTCGGAAAGACTATTTCTCTCCCTTTCGCCAGCTCGCCCACGCGCCCGTTCGTCCGTTTGTTTGTTTGTCTGCCTGTTTGTTGACTGCCTGTCTGTTTTGTTTGTCTGGGAAGGTATGGTCTATTTGCTTAGTTGATTGAGTGTCTGTCTCTCTATCTCTGGTCAGCCTGCATGCTTGATTGCCTGTCTGCATGCAGGCTTCTCTGCGGGTGAATGGAACCATAAATTTCTCCAAAGGGGAAATATGTATGTGTGTGTGTGTGTTGTGTGTGTGTGTGTATGTGTGTGTGTGTGTGTGTGTGTGTGTGTGTGTGTGTGTGTGTGTGTGTGTGTGTGTGTGTGTGTGTGTGTGTGTGTGTGTGTGTGTGTGTGTGTGTGTGTGTGTGTGTGTGCGTGTGTGAATGAGCGATAGTGACCGTGAAAGTGAGTGAGTGAGTGGGTGAGTGAGTGAGTGAGTGAGTGAGTGAGTGAGTGAGTGAGTGAGTGGGTGGGTGGGTGAGTGAGGGGGTGAGTGAGTTTGTGAGTGAGTGAGGGAGCGAGTTTGTGAGTGAGAGAATAAGTGAGCGAGTGAGTGAATGTTTGAGTGACTGTGCGTGTGGGCTCGCGCGCATGTGCGTGTACTTGTACGTGTGGGTGCGCGTGTATAAACATGACTTCAGGTTACACAGCAAAAATGCTACCGACCGCAGAATGTAATAAAACTGCGATATTAACCCCTTGGGGAAACACGCCAGCGCGCCACCCGCTCGCTCTCTGTCACCTGAGGGTGCGCACGATTCATGTCGCCCGTGACAGCAATATCTATTCCGAATCATTGTTATCATATCGACATTTCATTAAGATTGTGTCATTAAGACCACAGTGTAATTGGATTTTTTTTATTTGCTTAATATATATCGGTTTAATTCATAGCAACGGCGTTTTAAAAAAATGTGTTCTAACAATGTTGAAATCTCAAATCATTATATTACATCTTTTATAGCTATACGTGTTTCGTATGGCGAGTAGCGCATCCAAAATAAAACACAGAAAGTTTTGTACTTAAACTAGAACTGTAATATAGAGTGCACAGAATTCATTTACGATATCACATCCACAAAGTTTAATATCGAAAAGAACACAGAACTACAACCATAAAGTGAGAGAATGAGCGAGCATGAATATAAACCGAGCCAGTCATTGTAAGCTGGTTAAGTCGCTCGCCGAGTAAGACACTTTTGAAACTGCTTTTACTCTGATCCGGAGCGCTCGGAAAGCTGCCTTCCATTTACTCTGCGAGCTTCCCTTATTCGCCCCTCGATGAAGTCGCCCTCGGACTGCGAATAACAACTCTGGCCGTGCGTCCTCCTTTCGGCCTGGTTACCTGATCTCTTCGAGGGTCACGGCGAGGCTTGAAAGTGGGTCAGTCCGCTTCCTTGGGTTACTGTACCTTCGAGAACTCTGGGTCTCCCGCAAGCAAATCATACAACTTTTTTTTATTAAGACGCTGGCCCAAGTGTGCGAATCTCCTAATCTCTTGTTTCGGAACTTGGCGAAAGTTTGATCACTTACCAGGCTAATATCTTAAAACGTATCTTAGCCTTGTGCCAGCGGATTTTTAACGGTTTTATAGAGGAATATAACTGCTGACCACCTTTTTTTTTAATCAGTGAAAGCATTCATGCTCATTATACTAATAGATGGCGTTTTAATGACCATCGCTTAATGAGCAAGTTCTAATTGTCCCAGCCTCCATGTCTGTCTGTCTGGTAAATATCTGCGCCAATCAGGGATGCTTGCACGATAATCACCAAGTACTTGAACACCAGCAGGCCACCAGCAAGCACAAAGCCAGCCCACACCTTAAATAAGACCTTCCACCACCTCCTTAACACCCCTTTTGCTTGATCAGGC